TTGTTTTCTGTTACCGCACTGGTGAGTTGGTGCAATAAATTAGAGTAAGACAAGTATATTTTTTCCCATCCTAGCTTACTGCACTAGTTCACCAGTGCAGGAACAGAAAACGAACCTTATGAATCTGCTCACAGAGAAAACGATTTCTTTGGATTTAATAAATTGTGTTGTATCCAAACGAGTTTGATATTTCGAGTGGTCGGAACAAATCAATGGTTGAACTAATAAGTACGATTGCTTGAATTTGAAATAATATATATCTTTGTCAGAAATAAAATATTAGTTTGAAACAAAAGGAATATTCTCTTTAATCTAAACTTTATGCCAGTTTGGTCGATTTTTAAAACAACTTCCCCGTGTTTAGCGTATAATGTACAAATAAATATTACATTTCGATCGTCAGAAATTACTAGAAAAAAAAACATTGTAAATTCGTTTAAATCATGTCTGATAAGAAGTAGCATAAATTCAATCAACTTTGAATTATATAAAAGTAGATTTTCTTGTATTCCCACGTAGTCGAGAACCTCATTAACCAAAGAAAATATTTGCGTTCTCGATGTAAAAGATGTAAAAGATGTAAATTGATTTTTATGCCGCGGCCTCTCAAGACCCCGCGCGAGTCGACTCGCTTTATGAAGAATAGCGCGACGACTGAAGTTACTAATTGAGAAATATTACTTCTCCTAGCGGGTATTCACGTTTAAATTCTGTATTACACGAAAAGTCGCAGTAAACATCATTTTATAATAACGTAAAAATTCTGTGTCATGTTAGAAGATTGGACGATACGTTGTATACAAAATTCAAGCGACGGATGATCGCTGGGAATTCTTGTTTAAACGAGTTCAACTTGAAATTTAGCGAATGGCGCGTCGTTAAAATTCCATGCGATCAGAGAATATCCATTAATCACCGGGGTGGTAATCAGTCAAAGAATTTTGAATTCTGGAAGTCCCCGATGATTTATATAATTTTTATCTTATTTCACGTCGCGTAATCGGAATAAATAATGAAAGGAATGAAATGGCGAGGACACTTTCGCCGATACTCCGGCTGCCACTTGCCATTTGCGTGCATCTGTTATTTTACATAATCCTATCGCGGAGCAAAAGTTGTATCGACGAAGTTAAATTTTCGTTCGATAATTTATTAAAACCCGCTCGCTACAGTTTCACGCAGTTATTTCGTCATCGCCGAATGCAATTACAGCAGTTTAACAAAAGCGATCATGCCTTCTTTAATTAGCCATTACGAACTTTTTAAACGGATCCGGCTTTCGTTTAGCTTGCTAATGAAATTTTGGAGAAGCGATAACGCGCGGAATGGCCGTGGTGATAACAACGGGGATTACGATGAGGCTTTTTTTCCCACTGCATTCCGTATGAAACGTCCGTAGTATCACACAAAAGTTTGCGAATTAATTTCGTAAAATGTCCCTTTTTTATTAGTGTAACAAAGCGGCAACAGATATTTGTAAATTGTTCATATTCAAAGCACTGATTGCACGGTTTATTTTCGCGGCACTGAAATGTAAGGGAGTATTTGTTTAATTTCAAGCTGATTTTTAACGAGCATTTCATTAGAAAGTACGTCAAATAGAAAAGACATTAAAGCCAGAGAGCGATTTAATGATGCACGTATTTGAGACGTAATAATTTTTATTTATTTCGTAGAATAAACTCTGTAAATTTTCTCTTACAGTTGGAGTCAAGTTTATTTTACAGAAACTTTAGAGCTCGCACAGTTGTGCGCGGCGTTAAAAATTGTATCTTTATATCCCTCGGTAAATTTCAAACGTATAATTAGTCAGTGCAAAAACTTCGTCAGGTCAATCTTAAATAAATGTTTCGTAATAAAATTTTAGATTACGGATATTGCAGTTATCTCTCGCGGATATTACGGAGTATATGCCGCAGGTGTAATTTTGATCTGACTAGAGTGAAGCCATAAATCAAATCATTAATTCAAGTATTTAAGTCTATCGATCCGATCATAAATATCGGTTGCACAAATGCACTGGTCTTATTTGTATTACAGCTCGCTATTTATATGATAACTAGTTTCCCTCCCCCCCCCCTTTCTCTCTCTCTTTCTCTCTGAGGGTTAATAATCTAAAAGGGCTCGCACAGATATAGACATTATGAGCTATGAATCCTTAGAGATCTTGCTTTATTACTGTGTTTAAAGGTCGGTTGTACCGTTGTCGATTATTCATCACTGTAATATTAAATTCTCGTTTTTTTCCTACTGGGTGTCTCAGACGTATTTCAAGACTGCAATTGTAAGATTGAAATGACCGCTGACAAATTATTAAGATTAACTATTATATTATTATCAATATATTAGGAATTAGACTGCATTTTAAACATGTGAAATTAATAAGAAGGATTTGTTAAAAGAACCTTATTTATTATGAAATTAATTTTACTTCAGTTAAAAGTAATAATTAATTTTCAGTCTAAAAATTAGGAACTTTGTTTCGAAGACGTTAATTACGCATTTAAAGATTTGACAGTAAAAAAATATAATTCGGAATACTTTTTTATAGTCACAAGTTTTATTAATTTTATCTAGTTTGTGAAAATCAATTATCTTTGATTACAAACTAATCAAGCCCTCTATTCTTATATGTAGCAGTACATTTCTCGAATAAAACTTTAATGTTTGAAATGTTTTCCTTAAAGTTGAAATCAAGCATTATATGCTGCGGGTAAATTTAGTTAATCACATTTATCTGGAGTCATGGCATCAAGCCACTTACATTTAGGAATAGAATATTTCCTTTTGTGAGTGCGGTTGGCTCTTTGATCAAGAATTCAAGACCATGCACGTTTATACGAAAGCCTCGTTACTTGTGTGATACTTCGTCGTTCTCTTTCTCTTTCTCTTTCGTTTTACCTCTCGCTACTCGTTACTTTATTACACGATACGATCGGAATTTATAAAGTCCATATCACAAAAATTGCGATTCTGTTTAACGTAATTGTAATTTGTCACTTCATTCGCTTTTCCCGTTTCATAATTCAATTCTGCTCGCGACGTTTATTTCTCGAATGCTTCCTCATTACGTCGTGCAATAAATCTCGTCAAAGGCTGCAGATTTTTGTGATTGCGCGTATTTTTACGGAAAAATTTATTCAAAGGAAACGTTATATTTTATACGTATTCCTTTTCTCGCTTTGCACCATTGTGATGATTTTCGCTATATTTAGACTCAATATTTCGCTTCATTATGTTCTCTGTATGCGCGATATGGTATGCACGATATGAGCTCGCGATAAAAATGCATCAAAGTGTTTACACATTTCTTTAAATTAAATTATTTAGCTTATTTTTAATAGAAAATTTGTTTCAGTAACTAATAATAAGGTTTTGTTATCGATAAGTTGAATAGAGATAAAAATGCATCAAAGTGTTTACACATTTCTTTAAATTAAATTATTTAGTTTATGTGTTTCAGTAACTAATAATAATTTTTATGTAACAACTTTTTGTTATCGATAAGTTGAATATGTTGAGTCGAGTGTAATTTTGCTTCATATTTAATAGGAGAAGAATTTCTTTTTTAAATAGAGTTGCAAAACTACAAAATTTTCGTAAAGTGACTTTTGGCGATTGCTTTGCGATTACTTCGTTTTAAATATATGACGTCATGCAATATAGCGAAAATACGTTTTTTTTTATATGTGTCAAGAGGCTCTTAGAAAGAAAAAGAAACAGCGTCTTTCGGGATCGACAACTTGACAAGCGTTCTAAGGGTTAATTCGGGGGTTAAGCTGATGGTCGAACGGCCTCGTTACTCAAATATGTCGAGAAAGATGACGTGAAAGAAATGGATATCTGAGATGAGCTGCTTGTTTCGGTATAAATTCTGATTTTTCATAAAAGTAGACGTTTTCTTCATAACCAATGTAGAAAAATTGCTAAACGACGCAACTGGCAAATTCTAATTAAAGGAATTTATTGCGAAAAATATTACCCCGGCCAGGGTTTTCCTCATAAGTTACGTTGCGAGATGTGAACTTTATAAATGTACAATGCGTACATAAGATAAGATTTGAAATACCAAGCATAGTATACAAAAGTCATAATGCATTAAAGCAAAAGCCGCCGGATAAAAGGAAGCCATTTTCCGTCTCAATGAGCTAATGCACTGTGCAATTAAGGGAATACCGGGCTTACAAGCGATGATGCATAATGTGTTCTAAAATTTCTGTTTAAGGCAAAACCCCATCAAAGAAAACATACTTATTTTAAATGAAACACGAGTTTAATAACTGAATTATGCATAACAGGAATGAAGTTAGATATAAATTTTCGTTGTGAAAACTTTATATTAAACTTAGCAAGTAATATTTGTGTGTCTTGAATATTTCATTTGTTTGATGTTGAAGCTACTTCTTTTTACTTTTTAGTAAAAAAAACAGATTCGGCTCAAAGGCTCTTATTTGAAAAATAAACTTGATTATTGCACCCAATATTGGTCACACTATCACAATGATGCATTTGCACTAGTGTTTTAATCAAGTGATTAATTTTATGGAATTTGTTACTAATATATTTAATTCGCCATAATCGATAGTAAAAATCCATTTCGTTGATCGATTTACACACAAATGCATAGAATTTTTATTTCGTGACAATTTTGTAAATGACACGTGATCTATTTGTAATGAGATTTGCGATAAGATTGCGCCAGCGGATCCAATTTCGCACGGAGAAGTGTGTCGTAAAACGTTTATATGATAAAAACAAAATATCGCCGCTCCACTTCTCAGAGATTGCCGCGATTATTTCGAAACGTCATTCGCGAAAAATGTTAATTCACGACGGTTCGCAGCGACGCATGCTGTTTCTTCGTAAAATCGCTGCGCTGCCCGCATAGAATGTCGTGAAATTTCGCTCGCGAAACTATTAATAGACGAGTGTCTCGTCCGTGGCGAACGCGACGCGGACCTCTCGTAATATCTCGATTGGGGTTTCACCTGCATAATCACCTGTCGTTAGTCTCCTCGTCGATCATGCGACACTCGAACTTTATCATTGCGTCACCTGGCATTCTCATCACCGTGAACCGCGCGTCTGTTCGCGCGAGCATGTAGAATCAAATGTACTTGGCGTCACTTCCACGACATCGGACTTAATCATAACTTTGTCCATCAAGTGCAGGGGAGATATACCGGGGAACTCGCTTCTACCAATACACTTTGCTCGAAAATTTGAGGAACGTCTCGTAAATTCCGCGCTCGAAGATACTGCTGATCCTTGCTCATCGATGAGTCACTCCGCCTTCCACGAAGAAGGTTTCTTTGCGCTCCGGTATTGTCCACAAACACGCCAATCACCGATTTGTATCACTTAATTCCGCTCGTCGGCTACTCTTCGCGCTTCAGTGAGTCACACATTTTTTGGCATTCATATTGAATTAATTCGCAGATTTACGATTCTGTATCGTCAATCGAAGGGTTAATTCACAAAAGGGAAAACAAGTTTCGAAAGTTTTCCTCTCTTAAGTAAATCCTTTGTTGTCCGAAAGAGAACTTTTTAATTAACTTATTTCTTCATTGTTGTATCATGTAATCTATCTTAATGAGAAAAAAAGAGGAGTCTTAATAATTTAAGGATCCTCGCAGTCTCAAGCGAGATTAGCTTTAATTCTCGAAGAGGCTCTCAGTTGAGCGTCTTTTGTACGTGTCTTGGGTGTCTCTAAGACGGTCATTCATTAATACACTTGTTTCGTCGTGACCGAATCACCTTATCTTTCTCAACAGGAAGAAAAAGAAGTCTGTTGTCTCCATAGGATTATACCTGTGAAACTTTTTCGATCAGTTTAGACATCAGGTTCTCTTTTATTCTTAAAAAAGTTTTGAATTCATTATTTCTTGATCCCCGGAGTATCTTTGCGGTGGTGATCCATTAATTTTTTTTTTCCGTCGAAAGAAGAAGAAAATAGCTTTACTGCTGCTGAACAAGTAAATATATGCCACGTGTAGATCCACGTCAGTCGATGCCCACCAATTCACGATATCCACCATTAACGATTATCGTAGTTTTCATTAAAGCCCGCATTAAATTGGATTACGTATCGGATCGTCTCTGGTGAAATGTAATGAAATTTTCCAGATTTTATTAATAGCACTTCTTCCTCAAGCCAGACTTGATATATTCTACTAATAATAATTATACTATTAATAATAATAATTATTGATAGTATTGATAAGCTTGCATTTGATTGGGATTGATTTCCGTTTACTGCTAATTCGGTAAGCGCACGTATATAAGCTCGAGTATGGCTACCAATCATTAACAGTCTCGAACCACTATTAATCTTGCTGGTATTAATCTTACCGGCGACCACTAATAATTAACTATCCGGAGAGTGTTGATCACGCTGGTTGCTAATCATGTTAAATCTATTAGCAATTTTAAATTCGATCATCACCTTTTTACGAACATTCTGCGCCCCGATCTATTAATAATTTTATTGGCAACCGTTTATTAATAATCCTGTCGCTCAAAGTTAACAGTCTTTGTTGCAACAATTCGCGTTTACTTCTCATTATTCCGCGTTTACTATTATTCATTATTTATCGTCGGCCGCGCACTCGTTAGGCAGTTTATCGACGACCATTTCTTAGTTTACATGATGAACACTGGCGACTCGAAGCCAAAGAATCCCCGTCGCGGCGCACTCTCTCTCGCCGTTGATTAAATATTAAACTCTCCTATCCCATGGCACGTTCTACACCGTGGCCGTTCTCTTCGCAACCTTTGCCCGCCACTCACGCACTTTTCTCCAAAAACTTTTTACGAGCTCGGGAGCGACGGCGCGCGGCCTCGCTCGCTCCGACCCGGAGGCGTAAGATCAACAAGCGGTTTCGGAGCGCTCTCGCGGCGCACTGAAGTGCGTCTAGCCAGGAGAAGAGGATCGGCAGCGTCGCGGCGCGTCGCGTCGCCTCGCGTCGCACCGCTACGGAATGGTCGCGAGTGCGACGAGAGTGACCCTGGCAGTGAGTGCCGCCTGCGCACTCTCGACCCCGGTTGTGCCGGTCCTCTCCTCTCCGGTTCTTTCTCTCTCGATCGTCGGCTCCCTCCGCGCCTCTTTTCACCCTTTCGGGATCACGCGACTTAGGTCCGACCTGACTTCCGAAAGCCATCCCCGTTGAGCCCATCGCGCGTGCACGCTTCTTTCTTCCTCACGTCCGTACGTCCGCGCGTTCACCGGCCCGTTTGTCTGGCGCGTTTCCCGCGCCATTCATACGCGGCATCAGGCGCTCTCGGGCCGGAGCGTCGCAGTCAACTATAGTTTAAACTTAAAGAACGTAAACAGAGGCTGTACATTCTCGGGCGGTTGTACATACGCGCGCGCGCGCGCCTGAATCCGAGATACTTGTGTATCATTTCAATTCTGCGCGCGAGACCCGAGTGAAGCGAGAAAAAGGTTGGTACGAATTAGATGGGATTTTTATTGAGATCGGAGATTAGACTTTGATGAGATTACATTTTAATCAAACTCCATCTGCAGAGAAAATTCGATAATCTCCGAGGTGGTACCGACTGTTACATCTTATTCCGAGTAGTTTTTCTTTATATTCTTGCGACGTTCCACACTCGATCTTGTCATTGCCAATTTTCTCGTCTAAATCTTGCACCTACTTCCTCTCTCTCTCTCTCTCTCTCTCTCTCTCTCTACGTCTTTAAAATTTTTCTACAACCTTGCATTTGCGTGTCACGCGACGTGTAGAGCGTGCGAGAAAGGATTACTCGGTGCAAAGATAGCGAGACCAATGAAACTTTTAGTTTTACTATTCTATTTATTTCAATATTAATCTCCTTGAAACGTAGAAAGTATCAGATTCCGTAAGATATTTGAAGCAAGAAAATTGCTAAATCTCCGTAGAACAACGCTTAAGGAGTTTGTCGGATATACTGTTTTTATGCTCGAAACTGATTTGATATCAACGATCCATGAAACTTGACCTTTACCATTCATATATCGTATGGGTTTAGTCCTCTTGCTGATCCCTTTGTCATATTTTATGCCGAATGTGAGTTACGGAAAAGTTTAGTTCGTCCATAACGTGAATAACACAGTTTTTCGAATTTCTCATAAAATCAATGTCTTATTCGGAAACTGGAGCGCGAGATTTTTGGTTGCACAGAACGATTACTGTATAACATTTTTTAATCCATACATTAAGCGCTTTTAATTGCACATTGCAATTAATTGACACTTTATGGCGGTAATTTATTTTTATTTAGATTAGAAAATTACAGTTCTATGTTAATATAAATGCGTATATTTTTTTTTGCAAAAACGAGAAGAATCTATTTTTGTTATTACAATCTTAAAATGCGAAAGAAGAGTTGTAAGATGTAAAAATATTCGCGTACGCAAAAATTCGGCGAGAAGGAATTTCGTAACATCGTTCATTCACAAATCCGATATTTTTTTAAAACGCTCCCTCCGTTATTTTTAACTTGTGCCCTTTGCGATACTATTTCCTACTCGAGGTTTTGTTTGCTCGCCTCTCTCGTTTTGGTATCATGCGCTCCCGTATTTTCCTCCCCGGCATTTTTTTGCCGTCATTCTTGGCGTATTTTTGCTCGCACGTATTTCCACTTGTTGGAGCTTATTGCACGAGCTCTGAGATATAATCTTCTTCAACGTGTCACTTTTATGATTAGTTCAATTTCGTTGCCCTTTTCTTATTTAAATCAGACGAGGACGCATTGAAACGCGATATCTCTTTCCCCAGTCTGTATAGCTTGTCCTCTTAATTTTGCTTTCTTCTTTCTCGCGTGTGGATGGTAAAATTTAAAGAGACCATCCATGCGTTAATCTTTCTCTTATTTAGAAACAAGTAAGAATTATGCAAAGTAATAGATGAAATAATACGCTTTAATGTTTTACTTTTACTGCTGTTCGCACCAGAACTAATGTAATAAAATTGCAAACACGACTCGTTTCTGGAACGTTATCGAAATTCCTACGGAAGATAGTTTTACACGTGCTTTACCCGCATGCATTATTTGATCGAAACTGATAAAAGTAATGACTCAGATCCCTCTCTGAACACGTACGCTCATACTTGTTCTGACGGGATTTGACCCAGAATAATAAACAGGGGGTTTCTCCTTCCTCTCCCTCTTTTTCGTGTCCATCAATATGATAGACAATCTTTCCGAGGGCACGAGGCAACGATTACCCTTACACGGCGCCACTAACCGCGGATTTAGCCTCGCGTAAATCAGAATAAAGTCCGAACATTGGACCGTCACGATTTCTATAGTTAATTTCGGCCGTGATTTATCGTGGCGTATCTTTTGAATGATCGCGATAAACCTTTAGTTCCGATTGTACGCGATAAGCTGTTGGTCGCCGGAACCGAGCAGTATTTACCGCCAAGTGTTTTACGACGTCACCAGCGAGAAAGCTGTGAGAGTGCGAAAAGTATACGGATATGCATAATATACAGTCGAAAATGGCGTATGATATGTACACAATCGACAATTTTAATATCTTCGCCTTCGTCGCACTTTTCATACCTGAAATTAGCCTCGTTGTAATATATCGATTTTAGTAACAGAGCTACGCGTTCGGCGAAGAGCAGATAGCGATGTAACGCTGTCACTCATGGTTATAGATTAGTATAGTATTGATATACGATCGAACAGGAGACGCAATTTCTAGATCGTAGATCATCCCTGTAAAAGTGTAATCGACGCAATTTGAATAGGGATGGGGAAACTACATAGTAATACATAGGTAAAAGGGTCGATAAATGCATGAGAGGATTTAAAAATTATAGGAATTCGTGCGAGATTGAAAACCGAGAGCAACGTTTTCATTCAAAAATGTAGAGAAGAAAAATTGTTCGTCTCTCGATTAGGAATGCATTTATTCTTTCTTAGCTCTAAGATTGTCAGTTATAATAAAATTAATAGCAGGGCAACACAATTTAAATATAGTGCATATAAACACAGGAGTGCTCTTACATCTTTCTTATTGTATTAAGCTTAATTTATAAAATTTCAATTGCAATATTTTTATCGCGACTCACGCGGCAATTTTCTTTCAGTTGGAAAGAATGGTTGCAACGTTATTTATCATACCGTAGTAATTAATTATGTTTTCAGTAAACGCCGACAGGAAAGCGATTACCGAATCCCGCGTGAGGATGGTATTGTTGTATTGTTCACGGGACTAGATTAATTGCGTCGCTGATCGGCATCGACCAGTGTGTGTACTACAATTTTCTAGTCCTCAGGACGCAGATATCACGCAATAAGGCAAAATTACTCAGGCTCGTATTAGTGATAATCCCATGGTTGAACCGTTCAATGGATAAGCCAGTTTAAATGTACTGCCAGAGGCAACGAAGGTAAATTAATCAGCGTTCATAAATTGAAAAGCACGATACTCCTACATTATGCTACGTCAAGTAACAAAAGACGTAAACGTTAATAAATAAATTAAATAAATGAGCAACATGTAATGAAACGATAATAAATTTAAAACGCTGAAAATGATAAATTTTGTTTAACAATTCATACGCATTGCGGGCGTAGGATGAAAATTTGCTATAAATTTCGTTTTGCAAACATTGCGACGCAGCTAATTTTGTTATAATTTCTTAGAATATACCCTGTACTTTGTACCTTAACCACTTGCTACGCGCTATCGAACAATTCTAGTATGCACAGTCATATAACTATATAGTGTACATTATACAATTGGAAATTGGACGTATGATTGTAGTGGCGATCGATTAATTGCAACGTGTAGGTATTATATAATCGACAAATCTCGTTGTCTTTTTCGATGTATCCGATTGGTAACGCGCATAACATTTCGTAATTGATTCCACTTTAATTGATGAAGTCCGCGCTATTAGATACATGATTAATTAGATCATCCACTGAGTTACTCGTTGCTATTGTAGTGCATCTGTATACATAATCAACGTGATTATGCAACACGGCTGCAATTGCGGTTGCGGTTGCGGTTCTGACTTGCGTGCGCCAAAAGTTATTAAAAGTACTCGCGGGTACCACGTTTGTTGGCTGCCGAGTATAAATCGCAAGAAAGTTGCACGCGCGCTCAACGAGGGTCGTCAGCAGTACGATTTTCTTTAGATGATTCATTCGCCACGGCTGTCGAGAGATGTCCTGGAAACTCGCCTTACTTTTTATGTAGATTCTTTTCAAAATTGGCAGAGACACCTATGAGTGTCTAATTATTTTACAACAGCTTCAAGTTTTTATATGACAAAAGAAAAACACAAACACAAAAACGCTTTTACATTATTAGTTATATTACTGGCGGTGTCGTGTAAAAATCTTTCTGTTGTTTTGTAATCATAGCAAGGAAGAGAATAGAGATGAAATAATTTTATGAAAATTTATAAAAGTGGGCAAAAGAAGGTATTTTGTATCGTGGAGATTAAAGGCGATATTGGCCGGTAAAGGACAAGCCGAATTCCCCAACCGTGACCTTTTTCCGTCGCCGTGTCAAAATCGAATTCCCATTTACGAGGTACGCGACAAGAGTCTCGAACATTTTTCAGCGAATTACAAAGAGGTCTCTGGCGAGTCGTGTATCGCTTAGGGTTTCTCTCCCTTCAGGGGGGGCCAAGTTGCGAAAGCGAAGAAAGATTCCCACGCGAAACTCATCCTCGTATCTTTATAAGCAGCTTTGCCTTTTTTTTTATAATAGTTTTATTATACGCAAATCACAATTTTATGTAGGGCCTCTTACATACCTTGCGGCAATTTCTTTTAAACGAACGGAGAAACGCGTGTACGCGTACACGTGTAGGATGTTGCACAACCCGGCAAAACAACAACGTAATTTTACGTCCTTGCAATCGTATTTCAAGTGCTATTAGTAATCATCTGCGTTGTCGTC